GGTACAGTAGTTATTAACAGTCGATGAAGATACTTAGTTCTCGGTTTTCACTAGGATTTTTTTATTAGAGTGTTTATTTATTACTCAATGAAGATTCACTATGACGTTTTTTTTTTTTACCTTTTACCTTTTTTTTTTATCTCACGTAAATGGTAGTTTAAATCGGGAAATCTGATCCTGAATGATTTCTCCTTCTGACCGAAATACGATGTCCGTTTGTCATACGCGCAGTATGGATCTTCAGGTTTGGAGGAGTTACCGATCTCCGTGACCTAATGTCGCGATACTCAAGATTGCAGTTTATCATATCTAACGTCATCTTTCTTTCGTTGAAGCAAATATTTTTCTAAAAATTCTTCCAATATTATTAGATACTTGACAACACGTTCGTGGCTATATTTAATTTATTTCACATCTTCAAATATATTTTGCACATGCTCGTTCCTGATAAACATGTCGACTGATACTATCATTATTATTATCTAACGGATTTCCCAATTTCGTACGTCAAGATTCTCTACATTTCTTAAATCCGACCAATTACATCCGTCCTGTTATTTTACGCTGCGATCATTTCGCCAAATTATCGTCACGTACGACCTTTCGATTTTCGGATTTTTCTCTACGTCTGTCGGCGTGCCGCGATTTCGATTTTGCGAGAATTATTCTTGCAAAGCATTGTAACAGTGAAAAGAAACGGAAATTCGGTAGACGGTTGCTCGAATAGAATATCCGTTTGCATCATTGCTACCTGATTTATGAGACAATAGCGCAGAATACCGCAAATGACATAACGACAAATATAATATATCTCCTCATTTTGCTACTCGTTCGTTTTGTCCGACCTGATGCGTCCACAGCATGACGAATCGATAAATTGTACAACAAATAATCCCATCTGCGAAGGATATTTCCACGTTATTTTCTTTAATTCATCCGCTATTGATTCGTCCGTCTTCTTTCCCCCCTTTTCACCCTCCCCCCTACTCCCCCACCGCCACCCCTTCTTTTTGCATTTTCGAAATATAATCCATTCCATTACACGTTTCACGTTTCGCTACGTTCGATGTCAGCGAGCAATTATTAATTTGAACGTATAAAATTGTCTTCCTGGCATGTCCGTACGAGAGAGAGGGACCGATCGATGGACTTATTAACAGAGATATTTGTTGCGTTATTTTTACGCGAGGTGAACGACGGCAGGGCCCGACAGATCGAGAACCGACACGTAATCAGAAGTCCTTGCCCGGTTCGTTTGGGGAAATTTTTAAACGGGAACGAACGGGTCATTAAAATGATTACTGTTTCCCTGGACGATCTCTCCACGTAGCAATGAGCTCCGCGTGCAGCAACTTTCGCGAAATAATGAGTTTCGAACTCGTCCATCGCCCGGATCTATTTATTAAACATTACAAAACGCGTTTGCAATTAAGTGGCGCGCTTCAGGCTAACCCGTGGAAGTTCCACGTTCGAGTTTGCTCGTTTATTTCTTCTTTTTGTTTTTTTCTTTTCTTTTTTTTCTTTCTTTCCTTTTCGCCTCCTTTCTGCCGGCCGCGTTTCTGGAATACTTGCACCAGGTGGAAAATTAACGACAGACCACGGGCAAATAGTGTGTTAAGCATCGTGCGCGAGAAAGAATTCCGTTTGACGATTAATCGTGAAATGAAATCAAAGAAACGTATCGGCCGAAAGAGGATCTTTCCGCTTTCGTTTGATAATTTTCGACATTTTCGCTTGAATTTCTGCGCC